CAAGTCGCGGAGCCCGGCAAACCGGATGTGCCACGACCACGCTGGCTGGTGTCTGCGCCGATCGCTCGACACGAGTGCGTCCTGCTCTGGTTCAATTCCACCAAAAGCAGCAGACATCTCTTGGTCGACGCCGATATCGAGCCCTCAACGCTGGGTGAGCGTAGGGTATGGCGGCTATGACCTGCCGCCCGAGGCTGTCTGTTTCGTTTCGTGGGGTGTGGCGAGGAATGCCAAGCGGGACCGAGCGAACTCATTCAAGCTAGGGTGGTGTGGACGGTTGGGCCTTGGTGGACTCATTTCCCGGCCGCTGAAAGACCCATCAATCATTCCCAGCTGTTGAGATTCAGAGGAATTAGCGACCTTGGAATAACAGCAGTGATATATTACCACATATCGCAGGTCTTCTCTGTACGGCATGTGTGTCTGTACCGCATGAATACAGTGTATCTTGACCGCCACAAAGACTTCAACACATCCCCTTCGACTGCTGGGGTGTTTTCTCGAACTCTCAGTGATTGCGTGTACATTTTGCTATAAAAACGCTTGTTCCGTTCAAAGGACCACCCGCGTCCGGCTCATGTCTCACCGTAGTGACCTCGACCGTGGCCCAGTCGGTTGCATGTGGGGTCGAGCGCCACCGCCGGGACGATGATCACGCTAATGTCACCCTCCGTCACGCCATCCTCCCTCGAGAAAACCAGCTCCTCGGAGGGCTCGGAGATCTTCCACTTGGTGAGAGGGAAGGAGGCCACTTCCTCTTCCGACCGCACCGGGAACATGCGCATGTCCGCGGATGCGGCTCCCAGCACCTGGGGTCACGTGTTCCGCGTTGTTAGCCTCAGAAACAATTTGTTTGAAATACATATTGATCACCTCCATCAGTACAAACAATTTGATGGAGTCCGTGAGTGTTTATGCACATGTGTAGGGAGAAAATTACACACGTAGTATACAATATCCCCTGCGTTTGGAGCAATAGTCTGCAGGCAGGAGAAGGAACGCGTCCTGCACGCTCGAACACTGAACGCCTCGTGCTCTCCACCGCGACCAACACCAAGAGATCACTGCTGGGGCCTACATGTGCTCTCCAAAGCGCTCAAGCGAATGGTAGACCAAGTCTCTCTAAGGCAGTACCTTGCAATGCTTCGTTGTTGGGCCAGCCACACAAGACATAACCTACAGTATGTACCCCTGATACACCCGTTCCTGCTGTCACTTCGGTCACATGATCGCTGCAGGCGTGTGTACATGTAAGCCGAAGTATTCTACATTTTTACCCACCTTGGGAATGTAGACTTTCTTCCCGCGCTTGAAGAGCCCGCTGACGATAGCGGAGGTGCCGAGCTCTTTCGGCATGGACAGGTACACGCTTACCGCGCCGCCTCCATCACCGCCCTCCTGCTGCTGCAGCTGCGGAAACGAAAGCAATCTCTCCGCAACGGCTGCCGAGGCCACACCGACAGCTTCATCGCTCATCTGCTTCAGCTCCGACTTGATGCGCTTCCGCAGGGCTTTCTTCTGCTCGCGAACGTCTTTCCCCTTGCCCCCTACACCGACGCCGCTGCTAGCCTCTGGTACCGCAGGGTGCGCTGCTGCGGCGGGTCCTCCTCCTGTCGAGGACATGTTGGTGCAACCTGACCGATGAGGAAAACAACAAACAGTCGGGCGAGTGATCCTTGGCAATGCAGGGCGCCCCACGGCTCTCAGACCTGAAGAGGGCGTCCGAAGGAGGCAGAGTCTCCTCGCAACGGTCTCACTAAGCATATGCAGAGAGGGAAAGAGACACAAGAGATGCCAGACGCTGAGATGCTGAGATGCTGCCAAAAAGGCGGCCCAAATTGAATCGGGGGTTTCCACTTGGTTCTAAAGGCTCCACGAGCGCGCCCTCGCCGAACGACAACCACAAGGACTACTCCGAGCAGCAAACGCGGAGGAAGGAGGGACCGCCGGCGCATCCCCGTTGCTCCAGTCCACCTCAAGCAACATGCCTGCGAATGGTTCTTTCGTGGTCAACAAGACCAGCAAGTTCGCCGTGTTCGATGTGAAAGGCGGTGAGCAAGCAGCGTACATAGTACATAGTAAACAGCAGTAGCAGTCCACAACAAACGAAGGATCGGTACGCCACAGAGACGCAGAGCACAGCAGCACAACAGCATGGGTCCTCCGTCCTATAACGGCTGGCATGTCGGGTATTTTTAATGGTGCAAAGGTGGTAGCCACTAGAACCACCACGTTAACAAACGCTAAAGATGGGGCAGGCACGCTCCACTTATGCAGCATCCAGTAAACGCTCTCTTTTGCGGCCCGCCTCCGTACAACATGTAGCAATTGGTATTTACTAGCATTCTAAACCCAAGCTTGGGTGCGAAGCCACAGCAGCCCGTGCGGTGCACTCGATCGAGCACTGCTGCTGTCTGCAGCAGTGCTCAGTAGCGACAGCAGTGACTATAATACTACGGTTTGCCCTCCGCGCAGCAGTAGTGGTGATCAGCACCAAGTTGTGTTTCCAGCTGCACTCGCCGCACTTTCTGGGCAAGTTCTTGTGGAAACAAGACGTGTCTGGGGCTTCGCGGCAGGTGCCCGCGTTGTCGCAGGTAAAAACGCGGCCTGTTGCCGTGGTGTTTGATGCATTCAGGTATTTTGCTCCTGAGAGCAGTGTCAGGATGCGCCCACCCACGGCAGGTCTCTCTTTTCCAACACCGGATTGCATCACGCTCTTTCAACAAGTACTGTAGAACAAGACACGACTCAGGGCAGTCGGGAGCTATCTTACCGACCGGTCGGCACGAACTTCTCCCATACAGCATGTAGAAGTACGACGTCTCACGCGTGCCTTTGCCTGAACGCCGCCCTCTAATTAACCGACAAGAAGACCTTTGCAGTCGAGGCTGAGAGATGCGTACGTTCGCTGGCGCCACCTTGATCCCCCCCCAGTGACACAAGACGCGGGCGCGGCGTCCTCCTCCTCCTCCGGCGCAGCAGCTGCTGCCGCCGGTAGCTCAACGACGGCAGCAGCATCCTCCGGAAAGGGGAAGTCTTCCAACAAGGGGACTAAGGAAGTGGTGCTTGAGGTAAGGAAGGGCGGGTATCGTCAGTGGCGCCCCCACCTTTCCTCTGCCGGGGGGGGGGCGGGGGGGGCGTACTCGTATGTTTTGCATGCCTTAGCGGTTAGACCATTGACCACGCGCCCTCCAGAGGACGGAGCAATGTTCCCACAGGACCGATCACTGCCGGGGGGGAGGGGGGCGCAGCAATTTACGAAAAGAAAACCGATGATGTTGTGTAGCGGTGTGCGGTCGGCGCTCCCCGCCTAGCAGCTGTACCAGTAACAGTGGGGTGCGTAATGCCATGATTTCTGCCGATTGCACGGAACACATGTAGCAGACGCGAGACGCGCCGATCCTCTCGTACACGCGCACCCTGCCTGCCCGATCCCCGGAGCTGTGGCGGAGCGATAAACGACACCCACTTTGCTGCCTCAACGGGGCTTGAAACGACACGGCGTTTTACGCCTGCCGTAAAAGTTTCGTGAGAAGCTGCAGTCTCTCAACCTCTCTTGTGCTAATCCGTCCGTCAGCACGGATGGATCGAGCCTGACATTTACCGTGCCTACGTACACACATCCAGGTTTGCGCACTGCTTCCTGGAAGGTGTTTTTGATTGTAACCTACTTTGCCCCCCTTGTGTCTATTCAGCTTTTTTGTGGGAATCGCGGGGGGCGGCGGCGGACTTGTCATCTGATCAAGAGTTGCTTGATATCTCTCTCTCTCGCGCGCTCATCTCTTCGTTCGTGTTTGCTTACCGATATTCCTTCCCCTTCCCCTTCCCTTCTTCAGGCACCCCCGTTCGACGTTAGCCAGCTCAAGGCGTCCGAGTGCTCGTTGGAAGAGCGCTACGAGTTGTGCCGGAGTGTGGCGGACGAGTGCATCCAGGTGCTACTGATTTTCCGCTGAACGATGATGTTGTTGAGCATGTGAAACAAGTACGTTTGAATGTGTTCATCTCTGAAATGTGTGGTTGTGAGCATCAGGTGGAAGACTGCTGTCGGAAACTGCCGAGACAGTGCCTGCACGCTGCCACCCCCTTCGTGGGTGTTATACTCCATTGTTTCAGATGTTGGCTACCTGCAGTGGCTTGTTTTTCTTTCGAGACCACTTACGCCGTCCTCGTTGCTAAGCGAAGTCACCCTCTTTCTTCGGTTTCCTTTTTGTGTTTGTTTTCGATGCTTGTTGTCTTGACTTCTGGATGTTTTAGGAAGAGGAACTTAAGCGCTTGTTGGAAGCACGAGCACACCCAATCTGCTACGATGGCTTCGAGCCCTCCGGACGCATGCACATCGCTCAGGGAGTGATGCGAGTGATCAACGTCAACAAGCTCACCAAGTGAGCTCGAGACCCTAGAGAGGGGGGTTGGGCGGGGAGTTACGGGGTATGGTTTCCATCTTACAGGGGGGGGGGGGGGGGGGGCTCTCCCTCACACAGACATCTGTGTGTAT